ATATTATGTCATGGCAAATGTCATGATCCATAAATTTGTTATAATGGATATTATGTCATGGCAAATGTCATGAACCACAAATTTGTTATAATGGATATTATGTCATGGCATATGTCATGAAAATTTGGCCATATTACAAATCTCCACCTTGGCCTAATTTCGGCTTATATATAGTAAATTTGCTCCACCTTCTCCGTAAAAACCCCAATGGGCAAAATCATTCTTCATAAATGCCAATCAAGTTCAGGCAAAGCTTGAACTTGGACACTGGAAGAGGTTTTGTGAACATGTCAGCAGGATTGTCTCTAGTGTTGATCTTCTGAACAGAGACTTTTCTTTCAGCAATGGTTTCTCGGATGAAATGATACTTTATATTAATGTGCTTCGTCCTCTCATGATACATTTGATCTTTAGTCAAGTGAATGTCACTTTGACTATCAAAGAAAATGGTAATACCACTTTGGTGTAAACTGAGTTCCGCAAATAGACCCTTCAACCTCGATCACTGCCATATATTCTACTTCGATAGTAGATAAAGCTACTACATGTTGTAATGTAGCTTACCAACTAATAGCGCAACCACCGATGCAAAATACATAGCATGTCAGGGATCTTCTTTTGTCAAGATCACCTGCATAATCTGAATCTACAAAACCAACCAAAGTATTAGTATTTCGCCCAAACTCCAAACATGTGTTTGAAGTACCTCGCAAGTATCTGAGAATCCATTTCACAGCATGCCAATGTGCTTTACCAGGGAAAGTCGTATACCGGCTTACCAAGCTCACTGCTTGTGAAATGTCTGGACGTGTACAAACCATTGCATACATAATACTGCCGACTGTACTGGAATAAGGAACATGTGCCATATACCTCTCTTCTTCCTCTGACTGCGGGGACTGAGCAGCTGATAACTTAAAATGAGCAGCAAGAGGGGTACTAACTGGTTTAACATCTTTCATGCCAAACCTCTCCAAGACTTTCTCCAAGTACTTCTTCTGGGTCAAAAATAGCATGTTAGCTTTTCGATCTCTTTTGATCTTCATGCCAAGGATTTTCTTAGCTGCTCCCAAATCTTTCATCTTAAATTAACTTTTCAGCTGACTTTTCAAATTGTGAATTTCTGTTAAATCCTTAGTAGCAATGAGCATGTAATCAACATATAATAATAGGTACACAAATGAACCATCAGTTAACTTCCGAAAGTAAACACAACTATCATACATGCTTCTCGAATAACCATGACCCAACATAAAGGAATCAAACCTTTTATACCATTATCTTAGAGACTGCTTTAATCCGTACAAGGATTTCTTTAACAAGCAAACATGATCTTCTTTTCCTTCAATTTCAAATCCTTCGGGTTGATGCATGTATATTTGTTCCTCAAGTTCGCCATGTAAGAAAGCTGTCTTAACATCAAGTTGTTCTAATTCCAAATCATACATGGCAACGAAGGCAAGCAAGACACGAATAGAGCTATGTTTAACAACAGGTGAGAAAATATCATTAAAATCAACTCCTTGTACCTGACTATAGCCCTTTGCAACTATTCGTGCCTTATACCTCGCATCTTCAACCCCTGGAATGACATCATTTTTCTTGAAGACCCATTTGCAACCAACAATTCTTTTTCCTGATGGCGGATTCACAAGAGACCAAGTACCATTCTTGTGGAGAGACTCAATTTCTTCATTCATTGCAATTAGCCACTTGGCTGAGTCAGCACCAGAAACTGCTTCTGAATATTTTGATGATTCTCCAATTTCTTCAGTTTCCTATGCAACTGAAAAAACAAATGCAACATAATCTCCCAACCTTAATGGTTGTTTACCTTCTCTTCTTGGTCTATGTTTGGCTATAGAATACTCCTCTTCTTCTGGTTCAACTTCAGGAGTCTCAACTTCAGGAATTTCAGCTTCTGTCTCAACTTCAGGAGTTTCTACTGTATTTTGCTCCAAAGTTGATGAGCTTGGCTCAGAAGGAATGCCAATCTCAATCTCCACCTGGTTCTGTGTACTCTTTCCTTTATCTGTATTACAAGAACTAGAAGACTCTTTTCTAGAATGTAACATAGAGGATTCATCAAAGGTTACATCTCTGCTAATTATAAATTTTGGTGCCGTGGGATCAGGATACCATAGTCGGTATCCTTTCACCCCAGATGCATACCCAAGGAAAATGTACTTTTTAGCCCTTGGCTCTAATTTTCCATCATTTACATGCATGTATGCAGGGCAACCAAATATCTTTAAATCAGAATAATTAGCAGGAGTACCTGACCACATTTCCTCTGGAGTCTTAAAGTTCAAAGATGCAGAAGAAGCTCGGTTAACAATGTAACAAGCTGTAGAGATAGCTTCTGCCCAAAAGGCGTTTGTCAACCCAGCATTTGAAATCATGCAACGAGCCCTTTCCAAAAGAGTTCTATTCATCCTTTCTGCCACACCATTTTGCTGAGGTGTCATTCTCACAGTACGATGTCGAGCAATTCCTTCATTCTTGCAAAATTCGTTGAATTCATCATTACAAAATTCCAAGCCATTATCTGTTCTAAGCCGCTTAACCTGTTTTCCTGTTTGCTTCTCAGTCAAAACTTTTCATTGTTTGAAATTTAAGAAAACATCACTTTTATTTTTCAGGAAATAAACCCAAACTTTCCTTGAATAATCATCAATGAAAGTTAACATATACCTGGCACCACCTTTTGATGGGGTACGTGAAGGACCCCAAAGATCTGAATGAATGTAATCCAAAGTACCTTTTGTTCTATGAATCGCTGGAGATTTGAAGCTGACTCTTTTCTGCTTCCCGAACACACAATATTCACAGAACTCCATATTTCTGGTACTTTGGCCATATAAGATACCTCTTTTACTGAGGATGAAAAGACATTTTTCACTCATATGCCCCAATCGCATATACCACAATTTGGTGATGTCAGAATCTGATTTATCTGATATTGAAACTACAGCAGCACCTGTAACAGTAGATCCCAAAAGAGTATACAGCATACCAGATCTGCGTGCTTTCATGATCACAAGAGCACTATGAGAAATTTTCAGAACTCCACCTTCATCTGTGTACTTGCACCCAAGAGATTTTAGAGTGCCCAAAGAGATGAGATTTTTCTTCAAGTCAGGAACATGTCTAACATCGGTGAGAATTCTCACCACACCATCATGCATTTTGATTTGGACTGTACCTTTTCCAATAAATTTGCAGGCAACATTGTTGCCCATCAAGACAACTCCACCTCCAATAGATTCATATGTGGTAAATAAATCCCGACTGGGACACATATGATAAGAACAACCCAAATCTAAAATCCACTCATTGTTAGATTTAAAACTATTATTAGTTGCTAAAAAAATAGTTTCCTCGGTCTCTCAGCAGCTGCAGTTGCTTCGGTAGTGTCAGTATTTTTGTACTCATTTTTCTTTTCTGTATGCTTTTCTTTGTTTTTGAATTTAAAGCATTCAGAAATAATGTGACCTTTCTTATGACAATATTTGCACATGACATTTCTGTATCTGGATTTTGACCTTGATTTAGGTTTCTCACTACTTGAATCTTTCTTATTGGATCTACCTCTTATGAATAAGCCTTCCCCTTGGTTCCCACTAGTTTTTCCAGTAATATCTCTATCTATTTGTTCTTTTGATTTCAAAATAGATTTGATATCTTTATAAGAGATATTATCCTTTCCATAAAGCATAGTATCTCTTATATGTTTAAACGACTGGGTAAGGAAACAAGCAATAACACAACTTGATCCTCATCTTTGATTTCAGCATCTATGTTACTTAAATCCATAAGAAGAGAATCAAAAGTATCAAGATGAGTAAGTATAGAGGTACCTTCAGCCATACGAAAAGTGTAGAGTTTTTGCTTTAGGTAAAGTCTGTTTTCTACTGTTCTTTTCATATATAGGGCTTTAAGCTTTTCCCATATGCCTTTGGCTGAGCTTTCTGTTGCAACTTCACGCAAAACCTCATTTGAAAGATATAAAATAATACCTGCTTTTGCCTTTTTGTCTATGACGGCAAACTCCTCGTCCATCATTTTATCCGGCATCTTCTCCTTCTCTTGCAGTGCCAAATCTAAGCCATCCTGAATTAGGATAGCTTCCATCTTTAATTGCCACATTCCAAAGTTTGCACTTCAGTCAAATTTCTCAACATAAGACTTTGTTATAGTCATTTTGGCTATTTAAACTAACCCGGTTAGATCTGGATCTGTTCAATTTGTTAGGATCGGGAACCCGGGTAGTGCGAAATTTAGCCAAACAACGGTATAATGACAATAACAAAGACAATGGAAGTTGATAATAACGGCAATTAAAGAATATAAAGAAGACACAAATTTAACGTGATTTGGTCAAGGTGACCTACGTCCACAAGCGGAGAGGAGCAATTTCACTATAACAATAAGAGTACAAAAGATAGTACAAAATTAGAGTAAATACTCTAATTAATCCCAAATACCCCAAGAGAATAACCTCACAAGATCATTCCAAAGAAAGGGTTCACACAAGTGTTTCCCAATACTCACTCTCTTACAAAATACTCTATAATGAAATAAAGAAGGAGAAAGAAAGATAAGAGTGAAAAGATCTTGAATTGGTGTGTTTACCAATGAGGAGAAACTACTCTATTTATAGCAAGAAATCCTTAGCCTAATAATGGATATTATGTCATGGCAAATGTCATGATCCACAAATTTGTTATAATGGATATTATGTCATGGCAAATGTCATGAACCACAAATTTGTTATAATGGATATTATGTCATGGCAAATGTCATGAAAATTTGGCCATATTACAAGCTATATGACCAAATTTGTCGCAAAGCCGACACTGAACTCGTTGATTGTTGGATCGTCACGGATTATATCCATTCTGCTGTCTGATTTGATTGTTGGACTGTCTGTTTGTGGAGAAGGACTTGTAATTGGTATTGAAGTTGTTACTACGAGGTCGGCTATTTGAGGAGTTTCTCTAATTAAGTTGAGCAGTGATAGTGAGTTGTTCCTTCTCGGCATCCTCATGCTTTAGGAAAACTTCATGACCAAGTAGTTTATCATATCGTTCTTTAAAGCTTATAAGTGTGTCTCGGGCTCGGATGGCTGCTGAAATTTCATTAAATTCGGGCCTTAAACCACCAAGGACTTTAATCGTCAACTCTTCACTGGTTAAAGGAGATCCAGTGGATGCCAGTTCATCCACTAAGGATTTTATTTCACCCATGAAATCAGCAATAGATTTGGAATTCCTTCGCAATGCGGATAGTTGTTCACGAAGTCCAAAAATCCGAGCCTGGGATTTGTTGGCATATGTAGTGTGAAGACTTTTCCAAGCAAGTGCAGATGTGGTGACATTGGCTATCATTGGTGCGATTGTGCAATCCACCGAGGCCATGATTGCATTTCGAAGAAGGCTATCTTGCCTTGTCCAGATTTTGTAGGCTGGGTTTGGCTTGCTTGAACCATCTGTTGAAGTAAGGAACTACGGAGGACATAGTTCTATGCTATCTACATAGCCCATGAGATCATATCCAATGAGGAGAGTGGAAGGTTGAGCTTTCCATGTCGAGAAATTGTGACTGCCGGTGAGTTTGAGAGGTAGTTGGGATGCAGGATGAATGGTGATTTGTTGATTTGGTTGAGGGGCACTGCCACCAGTAGCAGCAACAACAATAGTATCTGAAAAGGGCATTGTTGCTGGTTTGGTTTGACAAGAAAAGAAAGAAAAAAAAAGTGTTCCCAGAATCAGTTACTCGTTGGAGTCTTTGATGCTCTTGATACCATAAAGGAACACAAATAGTTGCTGAAAGTGATGCTTTTCCATTGCCTTTGCTGCGTACATTTATAGAGTGGATTTGTGAATCCAAATCTAAGTAGATAAGTACAACAGATATTTCCACAAGAGTTAGAATGTCAGTGAAATTAGGACTCTAATTGATGGCAATTTAAACTAACTGAATCACGTGGATAATGAGAAGTTGTTATGATTTTGAGTCCCTTTATCAGTATGTACTTTTAATATAATTCTAAAAAATCTCTTGAGTTAGTTCGTTTCATCCTCCTATGACCTATCTATGCAGATTTCTATCTTCGTTCGTGATTAGGGGGGCAAACGGGCGGGGGCGGGTCGGGACGGATATGGATGGGTCGAAAACGGGTAATATAAAAACGGATAAATTGCCCGACCCGATCCATATTTAATACGGATAACATACAAGTTAACTGGCGGATAATATGGATATCCATATTATCCATGGTTTCTTGAATATGATCATTTGTTTGATAATTTCTAGTCTCCCTAATTTGAGGAACCCCTAATTTGAGTATTTACAAATATAAAAGTTAAACTTATTAGTTATCCATTGGTTATCTATTTTTTAAATTAATAATATGAATCTTATCCATATTTGACCCATTTTTAAAAAGTTCATTATCCAACCCATTTTTTAATGGATAATATGGGTGGATAACTATTTTTTTAAGCATTTTGCCACCATTATTAGTGATCATATTGGGGAAAGGTAGTTGTAGAGGAGCAGCAGTGAAATGGTGATTTCCCTCGTTGGATCAAATAAAAACTCTATTTTCAAATATTAAAAAGATGAGAAATTTTCATAAATTACTATTGTTTAGAGTCTAATAACTATAAATTTTCTAATTACTCGTTCGTGCAACGAATACAACGTGTATCAACTGTATTCGTTCGCACAATTATATTCATTCGTGCAATGAATACAACTAAGGCGAAATACAGAAATACAGAAAAATAAAAAGTTCTTGTTGAGAGTCAAACTCAAGACCTCCGTTAATTAAGTGGGCGCTCTAACCAACTGAGCTACAAGAGCTTGTTGTTTTCTAGTTTCAGTTCAAAATAATTAATCTCGTATTTCATGGATTTGCTATAAAATTCAAATATAACTACTAATGGTAAATTTGCTGAAAGTATAGCTATAAATAATAAATACAGTGTAAATATTTGATGTGTCGTATAATTTTTCCCTAAAAAGATCCATCAGACATTTCACTTTGGATTTTATGTTAATCATTAGTGTTATTGACTCTTGTCAACCACTTCTCTTTCTGCCTCTCTTTTAAATTCTTAAATATTTTTTTAGTTATAAATTCAAGATTATTAATGTTAATATATTGGCATTGTGTAACTTTGGCGTTATGTTAATTTTTATTTTTTTAACAAATCTTCTTATTCCGTACTCTCTTTCTTGGATTCGAGGAGGAATATACTTTTAAAGTTTTTGAGGTTTAAACTTTCCATTACCAGAACAAGGAAACGAACTAACTTTCCATTACCAAAGTATTAACAAAGGACATTCATAAGCACTAAAAATTAGGAGAGGGAGAGAAAATCGAGTGTTTTGTATAGATAGAGCAACATGGCAAGTATTTAAGAAAGATTTTAAAATATAAAATATTAGGCAATGAACTTATGTAAATTAAAATCTTACTTGATTTTCAGTTCAAAATTGTTATGAGTTCTTACCTAATTCAAATAAAAAGATTTAGTGATTAAAGTATTTGTAATTTCAAAGTTCTAAATATTAGGGAAGTAACTTAAATTACAATCCTATCCAATGTAAAGTCTATTTTAAAAGGATAAAAAAGGCAAACGATATTTCGCTAAGGGGTTTTGTGCTTCTAATATAGTATAGATAGATTCTATTGGGCAAAATATATAAGTTGCCACTTGTCATATGGACCAAATCCCCCTTATGCACTTTCTATGGACGATAATAATATTACACACGCAACCATTCTAAAGTAAATCTAGTACACACCTTCTTTGACCAGGTCCAAGCGTGTGTAAAACAAAACGGCAGAAACGCGTGAAAATTAGAAGTAGACATTTTCTGACTTAAATCAACGGTCAGAAACAAATCCCAACGGCCATTTTTAAACAAATAAAAGGACCCTCAACCCATTTCTTCTAAAATTGGACCCGTTTTTCCCCCTTCTTCTTCCTTATTGAAAGCTCGATAGTTGCAGAAATATTCCTCTTCTTGATAACTTCTTATGCGATTTTCTGTTGCCAATATAATCATCTTCTTCTACTTCTTTCTTCTCTGTTTTGACATTGTAATTTCTAGGGTTCAATTTTAGGGTCAGGGGAAATGCATAAAAAAATTTTGTTATTGTACTGAAGAAGTTGTGGTGACACAATCATGCAGTGTTGATAATCATGTTCGTCAATTTTACGGATATAAATTTTATGAGATAAATATCAATTGTACTATTATAATCGATTTTATACTTCGTAATAATTTTTCTCTTCGATTTTCAGAGGGACAGTGGCTCGAGATATAATTTCTTTGTGTGGTTTGATCGCCTAACTCCAGAGCACTTGAAAATTATGATTTTGGGGCTGCTAAAGAAGAAGAGGGTGTTCGATGTATTATTGATGGAAAATAGGAATCAAAGAAATTAGAGGAGATTGTGTGCCTTGATTTTAATTGTAATTGTATTGAAGTTTATTGTATTTGGTAGTCTAAAGATTGCTATATAATATAAGACAATGAATGAAGATTTTTGGTGGATTTTGTATGCCGTTGTTACAAATGAATGAAATCTTTTGTAACTGTTAATGTTGTTTGATTTGTGGTTGTTGTTATGTGAGCTGAAAATGTAGATAATATACTTTGCCTACACAGTTAAATGGTGGTTGAAATTGCTGCCTAAAATACACCTAAAATGCTTAAATACTGAAGTGGTAATACCAAAGAGATGAAACTGCCCAAAAATTTTCAGTTTAAAACACGTAGCACCATAGAGTAAAGTTGTTCATTACAGTTACCTAATAGCAACCTGCTTTAACAAAAATAAGTACATCTTGTCTTAAGCAATACTAAACACCACAATAACAACCCTAACAGTTTGGGTGCAAATTCAAGTGTTCCAAAATAACTTAACAGTACAACATTCAATACACAACTACATATAGTTGTTCTTGGATGGCTGGGATGATGAATTTGCTTGACTTAGGTTGGAATGGGATGCAACAGTTCTGGAATGGGATGCAACAGTTCTTTCAAGTTGTCTTCTAGTAATGGTTAGTCTACCATTCTATTTTACTCCACTTGTTGGCTTGTAGGCACATTCATGAATATATGCTGAGGACCTCTTTTTACCAGCATGAGAAATCATTCTTGGTTTACCTCTACCAGACTGCCAAAAAATTAAAGTATTTAGTACAAGTAGTTTAACTAAACATGAATAAACTTAAGTTTGAAGTACTTACAGAAAAACTTGTGAACCCACAGCTTGATTGAAACAGCCCAATCCAAGAACTTCTAGTTCCTCTTCCACTACCTTTACCAGTTCTTCTTTCTCTTCCAGGGAAAAAAGTAGTTGAAGCTGAAGGTATATTACTTCCTCTACCTCTACCAGTTCTGATTCCTCTGCCGCCAGCAGCAGCAGGGGCAGAAGTAGTTGAAGCTGAAGGTGTTGGAGCAGGTGTATTACTTGCTCTACCTCTACCAGTTCTTATTCATCTGCCAACAGCAGGGGCAGTAGTAGTTGGAGCAGTTATTCCTCTTCCTCCCCTGCTTCCTCTATAAGAAGCATTTGTAAGAGTAGAATCTGCATGCCTTGGTTTCTTGGGCTTCTTTTGTTGTGTCCATAGCCACCACATTTTGAACATGTCACTTCCATACCCCTTCTTGACGGCTTTCCAGACTTAGGATGTTCAGTTTCTTCTCTTCTTCTCTTCTTCTTTGGTCTGCCAGGCATCTTTTTGATTGGTGGGGGTTCAATTGGTGGATTGGTAGATGTTGGCCACATCTGCATGCTTGGCACAGGCTGGATAAATGTTGATTATGCCTTCAAATAAGTGGATTTGTGGTACCAGTAGGATATATAGTTAATTGGCCCAATGTTCTTGAAGTGCATAGCAGCAATTGCATGAGCACAAGGGATACCCTTCAACATCCATGACATGCAGGTACATGTCTGGGTTTGCATTTTCACACAGTGTTTCTATTACCAATCTTAATGAGGTATCCTCATAGCCAAATTCACCATTCCATTTAATTGTACACCTCATAGACTGGGTCATGTTATCCTAATACACTTTTATAGCAATTGGGGATATATCACATATCCATGTATCTGCAAACTCTCTCAACTTTCCTATTCTCTCTATCATCTTCACTCTAATTTCCTCCAACATTTTGATAATTGTCGTGTGTCTAGCAACAAGTAGCCAAGCATTAAAGGTCTCACACATATTGTTGTCAATTATATCTCATTATCACAATTGAAGTATGCTCTGTACCAGGTTTCCTTGTTATACCTCAAGAGGCTCTCACATATCTCATTCCCTAGCATATTCAAGTTGTCCAGGTGGAAATTCAATTTTGCCACACACGAAACTCTAGCACACCTCCAGAAGTTGTTTCTCCTCTCTAATCCTCTCCAATCTTTGGACCAGTTTGCTAATATGTGCCTGGCATACCACCTATGTTCACTTTCAGGCAACATTTTTGATAGAAATAAGAAAAAATTAAATATTGACAGCAATGAAATCACCTTTTGCACATCAGACATGATAGTGAGATTCCTTCCATCTTGAAGCCATAAGTCTTGAGTCACACATTTCAGAAACCATGTCCAAGTGAAGCTGTTTTCACACTCTACAATGGGCCAAATAATAGGGAACATCTGATTGTTGCCATCCTTTGATACTGCTACAAGCAGTTGACCCTTACAAATGCCTTTTCAAAAAGCATCCATCAAGGCTAATTATCCTTCTACAACCTTCAGACCATCCCTTTTTCATAGCATAAAAGCACACATAAAATGAATGGAAGATAAACTTGCCTTCACCTTGATTATCTACCTTTACAACACAAGTTGTACCTGAATTTGTCTGTAACAGAACATCTCTATAATCATAGTCTTTTAAACTCAGCATGCACATCACCTATTATCTCTTTCGGAATTTTTGCTCCAGCTCTATGGACCTACCAACATAAATGTCCAGTTCATCCTTAATGAGTTTCTTTAGCTCCTAAACTTTCATATTTGGTTTAGACACAATCTTATCCTTGTAATGCTTTACAATGTATCTGGAGTTGCAAAGCTTATTTTTATTTATTATTTAACACTTGTGGACAGGACAATACTTTTTTATCTTAAAATTGCTAGATTTGTCATCTTTGTTGGCAGCCAAGAGGCATGGACATTTTTGGTGCATGCATTTTACCCTCACCCTACTAGGTTCATTAATATACTTTTTAATTTGAACTCCTTTCTGAATTGCATACTTAGTAACAACCAAGCTAAAATCATCAACACTCTAAAAAATTAGCCCCAACTCCCAGGTTATTTTTTTGATAGTTGGATAAAATATCAAGGCTTTTTTCTCTTCTTGGCAGTCATTCTCTCCTTATGTTCTTCATCAAATTCATCTTCAGCATCTGAAGGAAAGTTTTCAGCATTAGAAGAACCAAATTAAATGAGGCTCATCTGTCCCTACTAAGCTTGTGTACCTATTTTGTTTGCTACCAGTTCTTAATTCATCAAAGCCAATATCAACATTTGCATCACCTAGGTTAATATCACCTCTATCTTTTGGCCTTTCACTCTTTTTCCTCCAATATTTCCTCAGTTCATCCCTGCACTCTGCAAATTCTTCATGAACATCAGATCCATAATCATTATCATCAGGAATATGTAAGTCTACTCCATTACTCTCAGGATTATCAAAGTCTGAGTCATTTTCATTGCCATCCTCAACCTCATCATTATCTGATTCACTATCTACTTCACTTTCTTGTTCACTTGAATGTGCAGGAGCAGGAGCAGGGGCAAGTTCACTATCTTCTTCTTCTAAAATTATTGTGTTCTTAAAAGCTCAACTATTACTCCCACCAACCCCTTTACTAGCCTCATTTATGTCAACAACATTTAAAGGGATATCATGAATCACATAAATATCTAAGGTATCCCCATCTTTCAATTCATTACAAATGTCTAACATATCCTTATCTATGAGAATATTTATCAATTTATTTATCATATCCATTGAATAAATATACAGCTCAGCCACATTTTTAAATTACATTAACTTAGTGTAGTTCATCAGTTCAATAAAAGACAGAAAATCTACATCTACATCTAAAGTCAATGTTTGACTACCCACCACCACCACCACCACCATAACGAGCAAAGTTACCAAGAACTAAGACCCCATCGTTATACCACTTGAGTGTAATCAATTTAAAAGATATTTTTCTGCAAACAAACAAGGGGACAAATAAATCCACGGCCACATGCAACAACTGAAAATAAAGAAATACAAAATAAAGACAAAGACAAGAGCATATCACATTGTTCAAAGTAATGGTATTACAACAATCACATAAACCCTAACTTTACACACGGTTTACAAACACAAAGTAAATCTCTTTATAAAAAACTCTCTGTAAAGGCAACAACATGACAACTTCACAGTAATATCGACAATGACAGAAGATTCTCCTTTTAAAAAGTCCAAAAACCCTAAAGCAAATAGAAGAAATTTCAAAAAAAAACTAGGTTCAACCCACCCAGTGCTAAAACAAACAGGTAATGCAAGGGGAAGAAAATTACTAACCTAAAATTGCATTAATCCACCTCCCATACAAGATGAAAGTCGTGCTTGAGATAGTCGCCGGAATCGCCTTCACCAGAGCACCTTTGAGATGTATCGCGAAATGAGAGTTTATTTGGGGTAATTTAGTTTTAACCCTTTTTACCGGATGGGACGGGTAGGGTCGGGTTGGTTCATAAATATAAAGGGCTAAAAATAAGTGGGTCAAGTTTAATAATTATCAAATAGCTAAAGTCAAATGCGTGAATTACACGGGTAAATTTTTTACGGGACCTGGTCAAAAAAGGTGTGTACTAGATACACTTTAGAAAGATTGTGTGTAATATATTATTGTCCATAGAAAACGTGTAAGGGGGATTTGGTCCATAGGTCAGGTGGCAACTTATGTATTTTGCCATTCTATTTGACATGTTAATGTTTGCAGCAAAATATTGAAGCGGCTATGAGTGCACAGTGGTGATGTCTTTACCGGTCAAGTATACAATTGTAATAAAAGGGTTTAGAACTTCATCTATAGTTGGACCATGAAGCATCAGACATTACTAGGCTATCGACATCGCAACTCACAAAATTTTGTTGTGCAACTCCCGGCTAAAATGCTTCGATTTATTAGTTAAATCCTATTAACAATATAGTTTATTCAACTTTCGCAACTTTTAAAATATCATGTTCAGATAAAAAAAAGTTCTCTATTTTTTTTTTGGGTTCGGTTTTGAGATCTATCTTTCCGGCTTCACTTTTTATAGAGAAGACTAACGTCTTTTGATTGATTTCGGTTGTAGCTTCTATCTTTCATTCACTAAGAAAAGTTTTTTTTGAAAAAAAGCAGAATGGCCTAATAGACACCTCTACTTGTCCCGTTTTGATATTCCGATTTTCGTACTTCATAAAATTTCATTCGAACACCTCAACTCATTCAAAACAACTCATTTAAACTCCTCTAACCTTGCGTGCTCTTCAAACATACGATGTGGATGACATGTCAGTGTCCAGCTCCAATTATTTATGTCATATCATCATTTATCACTTTATTTCAAAAATTCTAATATTCAATTTTCTTTTTTACTCCATATTTTCTCCGCTATCTACTCGTCCCTTCTCCACTCCAAACGGACCTTTTCCTCCATTAATCCACCTTCACAATCCCAAAATGTCTCTAGTTTGTATTGTCCCAAATACATCCAAAAACCATTTATCAAAAGCTCACTAATAATAAAAACCATTCCAAAAAATTTTACTAATTGCGCCCCCACTATTCCAAAAAAAAAACATATACACACTTCGGAACAATGTAATTCCTACTCATTCAGTGGATACATCGATCATGTTGATGATGATTTCAGGATATTGTATTAATAAGAAGACCCAGATAATCTTGAGCATCTTAATGATAAAAAATTATTTAAACAAGAGAAAATTCATGTTTATTTGGGTCTCCACCTTTTCATATCTACACTAAATCTCAGCCACAGTCCTAAATCGCTGGTCAATTAGTTGTTGTTTACTAATTTACCTTCCAATTATGTTTTTTTTTTTTTACAAACAAAATAGAAGTAAGAATCGGAGGTGAAACACAACTCTTCTACGGTATCGAAGCAATGGATCTGCGAGGAGTTCGAAATAAAAGCAAGAAATCTCCCTATTGTTGCTTCTTCTAACAGTTGCTCTTGATTGAATCTTGAGACTGAATAGTACAGAAAGACGCGAGGGTAGGGGCAGAAGAGTATAGTGGTGAAAAAGAATACGAGGGAATTAGCAAAGGTGGGGGAAGAGTACGAGGAAGGGGATGGGAAACTTCACAAAACCAATTATTTTTAACTTTTTTTTATATTTTTATTTTAATCTTTTTTAAATCAAACTCATTATTTTCACTCGCTTTATATGCGTGCATCTCACCACATTTCATCCAGCTCAGCCGATATAGCACCACCTAATCTTGGTCAATGGTCAGTGGATACACTCGTCCGAATCCATATTCCTGGCGCAAAAGGTTTTTAACATTAACGTTTACTTCTCAAGGTTGCTAGATGCTTTTCAGCCATCTAACGTCATTATTCTCTTTCCCATTTTAACTTTTTTCTCCTTTTCCCCCTCTTTTACACAGCAAAATTACCTTTCCCTGCAAAGCTTGCACGGCAAAAACCCACGAATGCTGCATTCAGTTGCATAAATATCTTCCCAAAGTAAATATCTGAATTCCAGACAAATTAAGTTTAGGAGCAAAATGAAGATGAATAAAGAAAGAAATGTTATTTAGTATACGTATCAAGCAGGAAGGAGTAATCGAGTTAACAATATGTCAAAATGTCCTTTCCTTTACAACTTCCGGAAGTCGAAACACCGGTTAGCACTAAAATTTAGAAGCCTGTGACTATTACATTGAGCAACAAAAACGCCCAATAAAAACGACAAATTCTAACAGAATATAGAGCTTTAAATTACAAATTGCAAAGCGACAGCAGAAAAACTTCTTCAATAACCCATCAAAATGAATCAGAGGACAGAAATTACAGATGTCCTCAAAATGATATGTACACAGAATCTAAAATAATTCGAGAACAAGCAACATTAAAATGCAAAATTTTGAAACAATAATCTAACCTCAATGTTTAAGCATTTTGATCTCGAGAAGCATGTCCTTGCCATCTGAAATTGAAAGGTCAAACTTGTTTAGGAAGACATGACCAGTCAATGCTTCAAGGTGCCCAGAGTCAGAAGATAGATACATGCATTATGTAGTTCATATTTCTTGATATATAACACGTAATAATTATCCATCTAATACTGTGACATCACTTAATGAAAAATCAGAATCAGCATTAGGCAAGAGATGCTCAAAATAGTCATGAAACAGAGGAAGAATAGATATTAGTTCTAATACCCAGTCTCTCATCTTGCATTTTAAAATAGGAATGTCTAGATGAGGAACTTATTTGGTGCTTCATATTCATAGTAATTTTTTCACAGCACTGCAAGAACTTAATATTTGCTGACATTTTAGACAAACCTTGAAAGCAAGAACCTTGCCAGTGGACTCAAATTCGCATTTGAATTAAGCTCTTTACTCTGCTGTTTTTTCTTGCTATCAACCCCGGTACTTGTACTCTCTGTTTCAATCTTTCCCTTTGCAAAGATGCGAGCAGCAAGGTCTTGCAGATCTTTCAAAGATGACTCCTTTGAGCTGCAAAGAGTTTCTACTCTTGAGAAAACTAAATTATAAACAAATGGAGTACATTTTATGTTANCCCCCACCCCCCACAAACCCCCACCCCTCCCCAGGACACAAAAAGATCCATATCAACTGAATTCATCATGCTCACGATCAAGAGGATTTGCCGAACTATGAATGTACAGCATTCTTGCTGATAATTAGTCACAATACAGTAATTTGTAATGCTTCAAATGAAAGTAAGATGATGCAATGCCACAAACTATTTCTACAGTCTGCAAAACATATTTATATATCAGAGGCGGATCCAGAATTTTGAGTCAGCAAGTACAAAGACCACTGCATCTGTATTCTATTATGCTGGGTGCAAATCAGTATAAATATAAATAGATATGGTTCGAGCCGATGAAAGTGAGTGCAGCCACACTCGCTAGCATCTGCCATATTTTGATTGATATGCCAGAAAAATCTGGACCAGTTACCACATTTGTAATCAGAAGACTTATACGCAAATTATGAACTTTATTCATAAGTAAATTATTAAGCACCAGGTGCTGAGCCGGTACAACATTTGAGTTATATGCAATTACAACTCATACACTACATGCAGCCATGCCAAAAGACAAATGGTATATCAAATTTTCAGAAAAGCAATTGTGCTAGGCTTTTGATTTTTGAGTCTGATAGAATTAAAAACGACGCATTTATCTAGATTGGAGTTAATAATCTGACTTTATATAATACCAGTATTTGATTCCTAGTTCATCTATATTTCTTGTGGAGATGAGTTCATTGAGGTCTACAAGTGCCATCATAGTGCTCTCAATTATGAAATATCAGCAATTACAGATTTCCTAATGGTGATCCTAAACCACCAAGGATTGATTCTTATGGTTACTTAAACTTGAATTTCAGAATTTTTGCCACCATTTTCCAGCCTCTATTTTCCTATCTTTCTTCAGCCCCTTTCAGTTTAATGCAATTGAATGCCATTATCCTATGCAAAACTCCTTCACCTCAAAAATTTTGAACCCTTTCAGCCCCAAATATACACTGTTAAAGCCCCTGCAGCTGCTAGAAATCAGGCCTGCATCAAATGTTTCTGATGGAAAAAAGATCAGCAGCACATATTCTTGCATGCACACAGATAAGAATGTATCGCAATCTAAACAAGCACAGCTCAACAGACCTCAGGTTCATCTATCACGACTCCCATAAAAAATCACCTTTAAGATATCTAAGTTGACTTAAAGCTCAAGTCTTACCTCTTTTAGTGAAGGAATGAGGAGAACAGATAAGGTGGCAGATGAAGGTGCAGCATATGTTCTCGCACCATCTTCTTCATCACTTGCATGGCGCGATCTTGAAAACACCTTCTGCGCATCAAGATAGTCGCGAGAGTGCCTGGAAAAGTTATGGTGCTTCAGGGAAAATGATGAAACTAGGATAAGCCAACTTCAGACTATCTTTCAGCTTCAAAAACTCATGTACCTAGAAGAATCAGAGCTCGTTGTTGATTGTTCTGTTTTATTTTCTAACCCATCACGTTGGACCTTGCCCAATTTCGATCTGTCTCTAACATTTCCTTTCTTTGGTCCTGCTATCATGGCAGCCTTGGCCTAAAAAGTTCACATCTAATAAGCCTTACAAACCACCGAGAGATGTCATATTGGAGAGACTTAAACGTAATTAGAGTAATATATCAGAATCACTGAGTGAAAGAAAATTCCAGTTTGTTAAACATAAGAAGAAATCACAGCCTAACAAATAAACAATCGCTATCAAGATTCAAGAATTAAAGATGTACTACTGAGAGAGATCAAAGTCTTCTTTGAATAACATTTTTTCAGATAACACTTCCTTGATAAAAAATTTATAACACCTTTCAACCTTTATTATCCTTATGGCCGTCCTATACCAAGTTCAAAGTCTAGTATTACAAAAATCAACCCACGGATTTCATTAATTCAGACAAGAATTTCCCATAAATGGAAACCAGCTTCTTAGTTGGGAGAATTCTGAAGATAGATACCTCGGCAAGGTTTGTTGTACTATCTTCAAGTGATGCACTTGAAGATCTCTCTTGAATTCCTAACCTAGATTTTGGCGTTCGAGGAGAATCTGGGTCATCATGACGTCCACGATAAACTACAGTGCCACTGGAAGAAGCATCCTCGAAAGAAGCAAGTGTGCTACTGGACTGCAAAGTGAATTGACAGTAGTAGTTAATGGCAAATACACCAAAAAGTTTTTAGCATATGGCTGTTAAGAAATTTTGGTAGAAAAGCTGACGAATACCGGGGAACTCTGGTCGCTGAACAAAGAGGAGGACTGAAATCCTCTAGGAGATCCTCTTGGAGATCTCACAACCACTGTTCCAGTACCACTCACTGATAATTCCTCCTGTAAATTGCAGATTAGAAACAGGGTCACAATAAGATTCTAGCAGAAAAATATAAAAATGTACAGGGCAATGTAACTAAATAGTTCATCAATACATCTGAAACTTAAAGTATCAAGAACAAACAAGCTCTTCACTTTCTTTCTATTTTTTTTTATTTTTTCTTTTGGGAGATCTGTAAGCTTAAGTAGAGATTTCTCTCAGCCGTGGGAAGAATTTGCACAAACTTGATGCATTTAATGTTAACTATTTCATTGGACAATACACTAAAACTTGTTGTAGATGACAGAATCATCCAACTTTTGGTTCAAGTGTGTCACAACATTTTATTGCATGAAGAGTGCTATAAAACCACCTAATAAGATCTTCCTGACAGTAAAATCCTAAAATACTGCCACATCGCAGACATCAATTACTTTATTTTCGGGAAACCATGATGTCTGATGTGTACATACATTCTCCTGCAACTTGGATCTGTAATCAAGTTTACTCCTTCATACAAGCTTCTAAATTTCACCAAAAGGATACGAAGTAAGACACAAATGTAAGTATATGCATGCATATAGAAAAATACACACACTTATAGAGAACAAAGCAATACATCTTCACGAGAATAATCTCTTTTCTCATTGTTGTTTGCATCTCCATCGTCTTTTTGGCTGAAACCCTCAGATGAGTTATAAAGAATAGTTCCAGAAGCAGAGGACCAATTGTTACCACTGTCCAGATTTTTTCTTGAAGCAGGTTGATTCAATGGAACTTCTGGTTTCCTATCTCTAACCTGTGGTGGTTTCACACTTCGGACAGTTCCAGTACTAGATGATCCTCCAATGCTGAAGTCCCATCCAGCAGTTTTTAGGGTCTTCCCCTGGCCACTGTAAAGGTAACACTCAGCAAAGAATCACCACAGGTAACAATAAAGCACATCAAGAGGTTTCACTAACCTGACTTTAACAGTGTCTTCAGTACCCGTATCTCTTGTCACCTTAACGGTGCCTGATGCTTCCCCTACAGGTTTCAGGCCATTCCTAGGGGAATCAATATCATCCTTTATTTCAAACTTGGGGCGCTCCCTACAAGAAAACACACGTAACAACTTTTGAAAAGAATACACATTGGTTGACCCTGTATCATTAAGCAAACAATCCTTAAATTCTACACCATTAATAAGATTCAGAAGCGATAACTTGTCCAAAAATGGTAAAAACCAATATATCATTCAGTCCCTTTTTTAACAGGATATATATCATTTACTCCCTCTTGTCCCAAATTGAATTTTATGCACTTGACTCTGAAACAATTGTTAAGAAAGAAAACTTGAACAAAGAATATTTTAATGTTAAACGGAGGGAAACATGTAGGACCATAAGTTTCTTTCTGCTTTTCTGGTCTTAAAGACATCTCGTGAAAATAAAAGTGGGACCCAAATAATTTTTCCACATGAGATAAAACGTACCACCTTAGAAGTAGATATTATTTTGGAAAAGTGGAAATATAACTAATTCATCAAGTACCATTGAATCAAATGATACTAAGGCAAAATATGATGCCTTCAATTCCTTTTACCAAAGCAAACATGCAAAGAATAGGTGTAAGTGCACAAGATGTCAGGAAAATGGGATGCACCTGATTCTCTCTAAAAGTCTGGGGCTTTTTCTTGCATTCCTTATGAAACGATGCTTCAGTAGTTCCTTTGCACTTGGCCTCTAGGATCAATAGAAGTATAGAATAAGAGAAACAACCTAAGCATAATCATGCCCAGAAATTACAGATACATCACCCAACTAAATAAGAGTTGGATAACTAAATATCAGGGAAACCATTGTTGAGCAGATTTTTTTTCCTGATAAGTTCAGTGTTTGTAGAGAAGATAGAAGATGAATAAAGGCAGAGGTCAAAAAAAGTAGATCATCTATAGAGGATCATGCTTCTACTCTTTCTGTTGGCTACGAAGAGTCTTAAATTGGCTTACACCAGGGCCCAAATTTTGAGGTGCTTGTAATAATTACCAGTTATAAAATGTTCAAACTACAAACACTAATGATTATTAGAACACATTGATTCATACACAAATTTTTTTCCTTCTTAGACTATAAGGCTGAAGTGACTCATAAGAATGTGTCAAGTGAGTTGGTAACTTTATCTATGCATCTAGATATATAGCCATATAGGCACGCACCTTTATTAGATAGACCATCATGAACACATCTTGAAGTGCTTTAACATTTCTGCAATGGCTCATTCTCCTAGTAAAGCACTAATAATGGAGAATAAATTATTTAAACAGCAAACTACAGCTGACATCGAGTCGTCCTAGGCTGTCCACACCACTTTTATCAACTTATTCCAAATGTCATACTTTTGTACATCGAGGTTTAAAAATGTCTTGGAGACGTTGAGTAGGATGGCTTATCAATTTACTTAATGCTATAATAAGAAGTGGTAGGGTTTCCGACAATTGAGAAAGAATACCTTGATTCCAATATGTAAGAACAAAGGAGATATTTCAAGTTGTGCGAACTATCATGCATCCAACTAATGAGACATACGATAAAACTATGGCAAAAAGTGATATAGTGTGGACTTGGGGACATTACAAGAGTAGCTGAGAAGCATTTTAGATTTGTAGATCCACAACACAGGATGTATTGTTGGTAAAAAGATTGATAAATTTATCGCGAGTTGAAAAAAGATCTACACATGGTGTTTATTGACCTAGATAAAGCATATAATAGAGTACCAAGGAATATCCTTTGGTGGGTATTAGAGAAGAAAGAAAAAAAGAAAGAGATTCATATTAAATATATAGATGTCATAAAGGATATGTGTGAAGGAGTCATCACTAGTGTGAGAATAGTAGATACTACGAAGTTTCAATAACTATGACTGTACACTAGGGTATGCATTGATCTCGTACTTTGGTTGCCCTAGTTATGGACGAGCTAATTAACACATGGTGTTGCCACTTGCCATTTGCTAACAAATTGTGTTAATTGACGAAGCCAGCATCTATGTCAACCAAAAGCTTGAACAGTGGAGAAGCACTCTAAAGTCTGAAGAGTAAAGGTTTTAGCACATGAAGATTGAGTATATGCATTGCAAGTTTAGTCATCCTAAGAGTGAAATTGAGGTGAGATTAGTTGGGATTATGGTGCCCAAATGCCAAAAAAAATCATAAATCTATGCTTGATTTTCAAGGAGAATGGTATGACAGATGAAGAAAAAGAATCAAAATAGGATGGCTGAAATGAAGAGTGAAGGTGTTAAAGAACACGAGGTAGACATAAAAGAACATAGAAGGAAGCTATCTCAATCTCTTGGAGTCCATGCAGACCCAACGAAAAATAGGGGATAATGGAAGAGAAAGATCTATAAAGGCTCCGTCCCGATTTATGTGGCGGTGCTTGACCAATGAAAGTAAGACTTTTGAAACTTGTAGTCTAAAACAAACCATAGAAATTTGTGATAAATCCTCTCACTAAGGGTCAAATGGGAAGTTTAAAGTTAAATTGCTTCTAAATAAGAAAGTATGATATTCTTTTTGGGACAAATAAAACGGAAAGTATGACATATAAAGTGGGACAGAGGGAGTAGTTAGAAATATGTTTTAGTCATGTAATATGTTTACTAGAAGTCTTTTAGTCATGTTAGAAATTTATATGTCAGTAAGAAATATAGTGTCTACCTAACCGTATTATCACGTAGGCTCTCTAGTTTTTGGTATACGGCTCGTAACATAGGAGTTTTTCCCACATTAATAAAATTATTTACCTAATAAAAAAAATATAGAGAACTTCTAGAACTTTTTATTTGTTCTATTATTATTTTTTGTACAATATTGGTCTAAAGATGAACCATTAATGAAGCTAACACGATCAATGAAGATTCATATAGTCTATGTTATATATTGAAGCCCTGGTTCTTCAAAAGCTAACCCCCTGTGGACAACTTCTACTTACACAATGGAACTCCAACTCTTTTCTTTGCATGAAAGAATGAATAATTATAGGCGCATGGAAGTATGATAATAGTCAAGCACAAAGCAGAATCAGAGACGTTGAGAGAGAGAGAGAGAGAGAGAGAGAGAGAGAGAGAGAAACAGGGGGCTTGGCAGCAAAAAAGATGAAACCTACCTCAGTAGGACTCTTCTTCAAACACAAGGACACGAATTCCTTGAGAGGACGAGAAAAGTGTTCCTCTAGCTGCAGAATAACAGAAAACGCATTAGTTGCTACCTTTTGAAGAACAAAAGTGTATCATGAAATAAGAGCACTTATAAATCAGAAGTGGATAAACAAAAACAAAAATCTAAAACATAGAACTGGAAAAAGTATAACCTGGGGAGGATTTTCTCGAGGTATGATAAAAAGTACTCTCATGGGGTGCAGATCAGCAAGTGGGGGTTCCCCTTTGGCCATCTCAATTGCAGTTATACCAAGTGACCAAATATCGGCCTGTACAGAAGAAAAACACCTTAGGTGTTTGACCCAAACCTTAAGCAAGGGTATACAGAGGAGAACAGATATAGGAGTTTCAGGAATCATTTCAATCAGCAATAGAAAGGATTAAGACTAAGAGCTACACGAGGAGGAGGAAGCGGAAAAAGGAAGAAAGGACCAATAAGAAGAACGAAAATGGACTCTATATATTGCTGCAGTTCCAGAGATACCTTCTCATTGTATCCTTCTGAGTTCTGAATTACTTCAGGTGCCATCCAGAATGGTGTTCCTACAAATGTCTGCAAATATTAATTACATTAGGAAGCTTTAGCGACTTGACCTTACTTCTAACCAACAAAACCCAATGCAACTTCCAGCAAAACTGTGACATGTAACCCAAAGACCTCTATAACTAGTCAACAAGAAATTATAATAATAGCCATTCAGCAATGTGATTGAGCAAAAGAATCTAGTCATCAAAACAAAATTCCGCAGAGTATAGCAAATTGTACCTTTCTCCTAGAGATCGTCCTTGTCAGCTGTGCAGAAACGCCAAAATCTGCTACCTGTTGAAGGGTAGATCAGAAAACAATAAACAAGCTCACACGATAGTAACACCACATTGTTACCATCCTCTAAGATATAATATCAAACATGAGTTATTATACCTTCACATCACCATTTTCTGAGAGCAAGATATTAGCCGCTGCAAAAAAATCGAGAAACCTATGTCATTTCCATAACGAAATAGGGGTAGTGGGCCTCAAACTGAAAACAAGTTTAGCTAGCAACTAATGGAAGAAGCAATTAACAAATTAAGAGAACTTCCAAAGTATTAACGATTTATTAAAAAAAGATCTTCTTAGCTGCTGCAGTTTAATACCAAGAAGCATCTAATTCCAAAACGTGGCAACCTCAAGGCAAGAACTGATTATCAAGTTTGATCCACCCATAATTCAAAATCTAAGCTATGGCCAACATTTTAGCAAATTAAACTGAAAAGATAAAAAGTAAAGGTACAAATGGCCCATGGACAATACCAATCTAGATATCTGGCAGGCTATCAATATTTAGCTACAAAAGAATACAATGAACCTTTGATATCGCGATGAATTTTGCCTTCAGAGTGGAGGTATTCAACCGCATGAAGCAAATCACGTAAAATGCATGCAATAGACATTTCATCCAATGGCTGATTTGGTTGAATCTGCAGAAACAAAATCCTTGTTAGTATCCAGAGAAAAGTTCATTGAATAGATGACTGACATGTCGCTTCTGGTGGACCATTTTGTCTTAGTGAAGCAAAACTAGCACACCTATAACAGGTGGCCTGTAATGTAACATTGTGGCCGCAGGTGTAGAACACCAACAGATATTTAAACCTGAATAACAAAAAAGATAACTGCACTATGCTGTACCAGTACTATGAAATGATTAGCTACGGGCAAGTTACTTTGCTTGTCGAAAATTTGAAGAGACCCGAACAAAAAAGAATTTGGAGTAAGCAAAATTCCAGATTCAGAGAATTCTGCAAACTTTTTTATGGAGCACCAACTATCCTTGTGTTTGTATATATCATTAGATGAACTTAGCCAGGAATGTCACTGTATCTGGATATTCTCTATACTCCTGGTACATGGGTTCTCCCCTTTTTGAAAAGCAATCATTATTTATCTCAAAACCCGCCAACAAGAAAAAGTATGTAGCACAGGTATAACTCAAACAAAGCTGAGTGGCTGACATTTGGATATGTTCACTTAAGTTCTGGCAATTCAAATAATAAAAGTAACACAACTCAGAGGAGGTATAAGTTAAATAAACAAAATAGTAGTGGCAGTATCATAAACTAACTCAACAAATTTGGCCAAGCCTGATTTTGAAGTCAAGCTTTACATTTGACACCATGGCACAGATGATCCCTAAGATAAAAAATGTTTAGCAGTGAGCAGCCAGAGCCTGGCAAAAGCTAGATATTGCTAAGAGTCATAGAGTTAGTTGAAAAGGGTGTTATACCATACTACAAAGACATTCAATTTCCATTCAATTAGTCATTAAGACATCTTTAAGGTTTTGAGGCCAGTATTCTTATCCCTCAACTTAATAAGTTCCACATTAGAATTCCATTCAATTGATCATCAAGATATCTTTTAGGTTTTGAGGCCATTATTCTATCCCTTAAGTTAAATAAGTCCCAAATATGGTGACTGCATGTAAAAAGCATTTTAAGTTCATCCCCACCAGTCACCGCAGGATTTGCCTTGAGTTTCAATAATTGCTATGTATTTCATTTATAAGCTTTACTATAGTGAAATAGATTTTCCTTCAGTAAGTAGAATAAGATTCAAACACTTCAAACGAAAGTCAGATCAAGTCAGGAAAGCTCCATTGTGGTATATGCAGACGGGAATGAGAGAAACCATAGAACTATCTCTTTTATTTCTGGGATAAGTAAAAGATAACCTTACACTATCTCATATCATTGTTTTCCTCTCACCTCATCATGCCCAGCAAAAAAACTAGAGCTACTTGTGTTTTATAGCACAATGGAAAGTAGAAACAAACTTCAAGATTTTTGGACCTCTTTCGCCATCACAAGCGCAAATGTAGTGTTATAATTATAAAATACAACATTTCAATACAGGAGAACCCACCTCCCCAAAGTCAAAGTTAATCCCATTATTTTATGATGAATATTCACTTCATGTCCAGGAAATTCTATAGTCAGGGTGGAGAGGCTGGCATTATCTTAGATTTTGCCACTTACTAGATCAGCAACTGAGCCACCAGCCATGTATTCCATTATTATCCATAGCTTAGTTTGGTGCAGGTATGACCCATAGTACTCCGTAATATAGGGAGATCGACATTGTGATAAAACTGCAATTTCCTGAAAAAGTCATCCAATAAAAACCCTGCTCAGTTAATGATCTAATATAATCACCAAAGAATAATGTAAGTCAATCAAAAATGTCTGATATACCTTTTGGATATCCTCAACTTCATCCTCCCTGAATGACAACAATAAAAAGGCAATTTAGGATAAACTAAACTGTAACCAAGTATAACTAGGACAGAGACTTCGGGAGAAATAAACAATGAAGTAATTTCCTTGTATGAAACAACAGTTTCTCCAACCAGCCAATAAAGTTATCCAAAAAATTATTAGACTGCTTTGTGTAACTCAGTGTTGTCAAAGGCTCATTTAAGGCGTGCTTAATCCCTGAAGCTCGCGCTTCGCCTCGCTTAAACTGCGCTTCAGTGTAAGGCAAGGCATTAAGACATGCTCCTCATTGCCTGTGAGTTTTATCGTGAATCAAGCGGCACAACAGCAAATATAATCAGAAAATAAGTGTAGTAGCTGTAAAGGAAAATATTATGAATGAATTTGTTACTTTGTTCTTGAATTACATTTTTATTTTTATTTTTTCTTTCATTGCGCCTTTTTTTAATAAAGCCCACACTTTAAGTGCGCTTTGTGCTTAAAGCCCCAATAGACGTATTAGAGCTTTTTGCCTTTTGACAACACTGATGTAACTAGAACCAATTATGAACATTAGTTTTTTTATCAAAGGTTACATGAATGGCAAAGTTATTGCATAGATGTCTCAGTGTTGATAAATCGGAAAATCTGGAAATTTATAGCCCTACACCAATTACCAAAATGTTAAGTGTGCTTCAACTACCAAAAGAAACTTGAAGGAATTCATGGACTTCCAGTACAATCTTTAAATGTTTTGCTAAGGCACAGTTCAAATATGAAGCATATTAGATACCTTTACCTGATCAAAAAAAAATATATGAAGTGAATTAAGAAAGTGACTAAAGCTTAGTTGGTCAGTCTATCTGCCACAAAGACTAATCTATTCAAGCTCTAATCAAGTAGATCAAAGAACAGAGTCACAGACACACTCTTCCGTAACAAACATATGAAAAAAGAAAGCTTTCAACTCATCTTTCTCTTAAACTAGCTAGATAAAGATTTGTAGAGGCCTGAAGATCATCATATTAGAACAGCAAGAAGCCAAATCAGAAACCACTAGTTATAGTTTGCACTGGTTGTGCCTGATATCAGTTCTAACCATTTAATAAATATATATTTTCTCCTGTATCGATTGTACTATAGTAATCTATTTGCCAACCTACATGGTGAAATTGACAAAGAATGATAGAGCTTATAGTTTATCAAACTAAACGGAGTTCTTCCAAGGGAGTCTAGTCTCATTTCTGTATCCTCAACTGATTATTCACACAATAGAAATATAACTTAAAAGTAGATGAAAAAAGTTGCACTGCCGAGATGATATAGAAAATATTCAGTTCAAAAGTAAAATATGACATGCCGCTTTCATGTAAGCTGCCAATCTACTCTCCCTCCACGGGAAAGGAGAGTAAATCAGCAGTGGCTCCTGCTAAAAAACACATGGAGGACATAACTTCAAACTCCAAGAAAAGTAGCCAAGGCAATATACTCACGATTCTTCTAGATCAATAACCTTGATTGCAACCTCTTTGTTGAGTTCCTTGTCAAACCTGCAAATCAAGAAAAATAAAAACCAGACATACTACTGACTTATTAACATGATGACATTTCAAGACAAAAAATTTAAGGTCAAGCTGGAGGAAATAACAAAGAAAAACTTATACCTTTCCTTGCTAGAATAGCTTTCACTTAGTCAATACATAGGTTTCTCATATATTAAGAAGTGTTTATCGCTATTATCATACTATTGTATATCTCTTAATAAATTTGTAAATCCAGACTAGACAAAGACGACCTATTACACTTATTCATTGTTACCATAGTTAAAGAATAAAGTATTGGATAAAGTTAGGAACTTGCAGAACAGAAAACGAGCCCCTTGGTTGAAAAACGATTCATTTATGATCGGCGGTTAACCTTGATTAGCATTCCAATCTTTACTATCAACAGGAGGATTTTGAAGAGGAGAAGCAGGGCATGGGATGTTGCTCCTCTAGCACTTATGTGGGTTGTTTGGAGTGAGAGAAATAGGAGAGCTTTTGATAGAGTAGAGAAAGATCTTGTACACTTGAGGAGTATCCTCTTTTCCCTTATCTATTCTTCGTGCACCCGTGAGGTTCCTATTTGTATAGAAGATTGGGTGTTATTCGTCGAAAACCATGTCCTTTTGTAAGGTTTTCTACTTTTTGGTATACTCCTTGTATACGGACATGTTCTTTGCTCTTCTTTAATGAAATTTATTACTCTATACAAAAAAAAAATCAATAGGTGGATTTTCCTTATCCATCTAATAGAGAATAGCATTCAAGTTCATTATCAAATAGAATGGCATTAAAGTCCCTTGAGCTGTTAGAGATATCCTTACCGAAAATATAGAATTAGATTCTATAGATGCACTAAACAAACTTTATCAGTTTGTAAAAATTAGATCAAATGAATGCTGTCACCAGCGTCCACTGAGGTTAAACGTAAAAGAAAGTGCATCTAGACCGCATATCACATCTAATATACATTTCCATAAACAAAGGAAGCAGCAGCTTAACAGAGCCCAAATCCTGGCCTAGCAATTTATTCACGTGGGTAAACAAGATACATGACTTACTGGAAAGTTTATCCTTTTTAATCTCAGTTTTAACAAACATGGTAGGAAAGAAGCGAATAACGACCCTTTTCCGTTACTACTCCCAATCCCATCCTTCCCTTGTTTTTCAGTCAAAAATTAAAAATCGTTCAGTACTAATTCTACAGTGCTATTTGCGAGAAAAAAAAATGCAAAATAATTGACTTTTTGAGCATTTTCCTGATCGATAGATTTTCTGGCAGTAGGTTAAATTTCCCTCTTTTGGTTACCGAGGAATTAGCTTACTTAAAATCTCCAGATGTGAAATGCTAAATTGCTGGTATCTAGAACTCGAGTCTCACCAAGAAGAAAGAGCTGCATAAAGAAAACACTTTAATATGGCATTCAGATAAATACAGACCAGTCATACCTGTAGTATCATTATTTTTCGTGGATTTTCTTACACTTAGATCTCTATTGTTATATGTTGTCTCTTTTGCTTCGGTTATCTTATTATCATGTTATTGTTAGTTGTTACTGCTTCTTGTTACTGTTTTTTTTTTTCCATGGCTTCCCCGTTACTGTATTTCTTTTCAACTATGATGTGATTATGCTTTTCCTGAGCCAGAAACAACCTCTCTAGTCTCTATCTCCACAAGGTAGGGATAAGGTCTATGTACACACTATCCTTCCCATACCCTACTTGTGGAATTATACTAGGTTTGTTGCTGTTGTTATAAATATAGACCAGATATCAGTATTAGATTTTACAACTGTTGCGACTTATGCCTCAATTGCAAGTGAGTTGGACTCAACTGTATGAATTCATTAAATTTATAGCTTTATGTTTCAAGATTACAATCTTGAATTTTAACTAGAGATTTCATATGTCGATTCAGAACTGGAGAAGAACATACTTTATAATATAGTTCCCATTTCTATTATTGAAATTTTTTCTTAGATAGGTTAAGTATGTGTATGAGATGAAGGGGTGACAAGCAGGTAAGGAGTAAAATAACTCAAGAAAAAAGTGAAGAAAGAAAAATAACCAGTTGCATCGGAACAAATGGCAACAAGTTCAACGAAACAAAATCTATATCATTGATAGCAGATTATTGATAAAAGAGCATTTAAAAGCTTAGGGCTATAGTGATGTAATTTAGAAAAGCCATGGAAACAGGCAACTAAGGTGGTATGCAAATGCTGAATAGGGGCCATACTAGGCAAGGGATGCAAATAACGTGGTGCTCAGATGCTGGATAGGAGCCATACTAGGCAAGGCATGCCATTGTATTTACGGTGGAGAGCTTGATTGACTAATACGCTTTACACCTCCCCCCCCCCCCCCCCCCAAAAAAACAAAAAAGGTTGTTGGTGGACATCTTGTAAGCCAATTAGACTTCAAATTAACCTTTGTGCTACCTTTCTCTATTTTTTTTTAAACAAGTAATTAGCCTCCATGCGACTATTTACAATTAAGGGAAATTTTCTCTACATCTAGCTAATTTCTATATACCTCAAAAGAATAAAATTTTATAAGGCCTAAACCTAATATATACTCCATTCCAAGCAAATGTTATCACGCTCTGATTTAGTAATTCTGTAATTGACCCCTTTAACTCCCAGATGTATTTCTTGGCGAAGCTCAGCTTTTATATTCCAAGTGAATACACTTTAGTTTCATAAGAAGGTATAAACCATTACTTGAAATATTTTCTATAAGTAATTAGTGAATTGCTTTGATACACATAGGACAAAGACAATCTTGTCGATAAATTCAATGCCAAGTCCACTTCCGTTCTCCTAAGCTGGAATCAAAGACAAATTAAGAAATCCAGCACAAGAATCCATATGTTATGATCTCCTATAAACTTCAAATCGCAATTCCTCAATATTACAATCATCATACATCAAAATCCTTGGTCTCCTAATATAGATATCATCTCGACCTATCAAAAGAACCTAAAAGTTGAACATACCTTGTCTGACTAAAAACTGAATATAACTTGCAAAATCCTACAACATGACATATCAAGTTGTTCATAATCACTTAAATCATTCACTTGCGAGAAAGACTATCTAGAGTGCTCTTCATCAACCAAAAAAAAAAAGACTATCTAGAGTGCTAGACATACTTGTGGATACCCCCTCCCAATCTTATGACACGTGTTCTACTTTTGTAAGCATCAAGATATCTTTGACACTGTTCTACAAATAATACTATTCATACACATATTTCACAGGCTTAGATTTCAAGCCCATTAAACAATCTTAAATTTAACCATTCTAAAATATTTTCCTTCTCAAACCAACTTTGACACATTTCGACAGAGGGTGCAAGTAGCACATAGAAGATATGCTGAGAGAATGTCGCATGAGATGGTTTGTCCATGTTCGAAGCGGAATTCTAATGCAATGGGACGTACGTGCAACAGTATAATATGATTAAGGTGCTAAAACGGGACAATGTAGACCTAAAATCACGTCTACATCGTACGTAGAGCGCCCAAGCGCTTTTTAGGAAAGGCTGCTTTCGGTTGGTTTCATAATGGAAGTTGTTTAAGAGGTCCTATTATCTCTTAGGATTAATGCAGATTTAGCAAAAGCAAAGCACAACGGAAATAAAGGGTTCATGTTACCATTATCAAAAAAAAATAAAAAAAAATAAAGGATTCAAATACGCAATATCAACTAGTTACAATTAAAGTTTAGCTGTTATTATTACATGCATATCAAATTAAGTGCTTGCTGAGAACCATTTTAGTCTGGTTAGAGACTTATATGTCAATGTAGTGATGAGGGTATGATTAAGAGAATATTACTTTTAGAGAACCCCTAATTTTGCTTAAAAGGCAAAGTAATTAATAGTATGAAATCGGACCTAATAGAGTATCGTGGACGTGGAAGATTCTATAATTTACCTGAACTAGTTCAAAATTGAAGTGTAACTGATTGATTGATAACACCTAGTAACAAAAGCAAGATGGAAACACATTAACAAAATAAAATATTTTGATCTTTACCCTTTATAGACGTCACCAAACGAGCCTCTTCCGATGAGCTCAAGATCACTAAATCTGGATCCTGAGGCTTCAATAAGAGCAGCAGCATCAGCCATTTTTATATACAACTACTTTTTTCCTTCGCACTCTCAGTAGATGAAGTGAAAGCCAGTATAATACAACCACTCCACATCCCCTAGCTCGCACTTCTCGGTCAACTCCGCATTGCAAATATTCAACAAATTCATAAAATGTGGTCACTTAAACTCAATCGTGGTACGGGAAACCAATCTGGCAAAAATATTAAGTGCTGGAATTAACCAATAACGACAAAAATTTTAAGATTCACATTATCAAACACATAAATAGGTAAAATAAAGCAAAATTTGAGATCTGACAGTAATAAATAAAACTGAAATCAAAATGCAGGAAACTAAGGAACACAAAATATATAAGGAGAGGACTCGTTAGGTAAAGTGGAAGACGATAATAATGACAGTTCAGCAAATTCTACGTTTTGACAAAATAAATCGACAGCGAGACGGCGCCAAACGGAGTATTGAAAAACGAAACTGTTATTACAAGGAAGAAACAAAAAAATAATAAAAATTAATAAAAAGTGCTTAATTTTTCCTCTTTTTCACCGAATATGAATATGAACTAACAAGTAACAAACCTTGAATGCAAATTAGTCGATGGATGAGTATTTACATCAGTAAATACAAAAATTAGCAGGAGAATCCGTAGATCTCGTCTTTATCCCTTAAACGAAGACTTGTTTCTGTTTTCTGCTTTGGCATATGTACAGAGCGGGGCTGGCTACAAGGGATCGAGAGAAGAAGGAATGTTGTTTCGTTTTCTGTAATTCATTTATTGGGGGAAAATGATTTGCGTGGACCGGCTTTCGCAAACCGGGTTTTAAACCAACCGGATTGTTCTTATTCGTTCGGACTAGCTAGCTGGACTCTATTTGGCATTTGCCATCGAGAAATGAGATTTGTTGCTTCTGAGTTCTGCCCTTTTTCCAGTTGGCCATGGTAATTTTTTCTTTTTTTTTCTTTTTCTGATTAAAATTTAATTATGATGTTTTATTAAGCTAGCGTTTGGCCATAAATTTTTAAATTTATTTTGAAAAATTTTATTTAGGCGAAGTTTGGTTTGAAGATAAAAATGTGTTTGGACATAAGTTTTCAAAACATATTTCACTTTTTTTTTAAAAAAAAATATGAAACATGACGTATACCCATAAGTTCTAAAAACTATCACAAATACCCAACAGTATCTTCATCAATGACATTCATTATCATTATCACAAACCATAGTGCTGAACATAAATAAATTTGGTACAAAATTATTATTTTTATAATGAACTACATAATACACTATCAGATGACCGAGAAGATAAAACAGCATTATTATAAAATAATAAATTATGGGTTCTTTTATAAAATACAAAAGTTTGGGGTAATTTTTTAAAAAATATAATAATAATATTTTGTGTGAGCTGGTTTTGGGATTTGAGTTTTGGGAATTTACCAAAATATAGATAAATTTTGTGAACAAACATATATTTGCCAAAAAAAATTGAAAAACATTTGGCAAAATTTATGGCAAAACGGATCCTAAATAAAATTGGTCAAGTTAGATTTTTTTTTAACCCTTTATTACAAGTGCCTCTCCTTTGGATTTGAAAACTATCAAGACCTCCAATGTGTTTACAAAATTAAGTAGACCATTTGCCTTTACGTTTAACGTAGAGTTTGATTTCTGCACAATGACAGCATATAAATTTAATTATATAATAATAAGTAACTCTTTGTACAATCATATTTACTGTAACGTGGTATTAAGAATGAGATTGGCTCTAATACTTTTTTGAATTCTTATCTCCATACTTAAAGAGAAAGGGGGGGAAACTCCTCTAATTAATCAATTAAGTACTTCTTTTGATAAAATATGAGAAAGAATCTACCTAAATTAATAGGTTATTAAATACATTGACATGTGAAAGACATAAATAGCAACTACATGACTGCCATGGAGTAATTATAACACTTGAAAATAAATAAAAAAATTGAGCCTACATCAACAACTTGAAATCTGATTAGACATCTCGTTTGGTAATTTGAAAAGGATATTAGTTCTAGTTAAGTATGTTAAGATTGATTAAGAATAGGTTTGGCTCTAACACTTCTTAAAGAATCTGATCTCCTTGCATAAAGAGAAAAAAACATAGAGCTCCTCTAATTTATCAATCAAATACTTTTTGCTAAAAATCTGCGAAAATTATCTACCTAAATGAATAGATTATTGCAACTAAATTTATGCCTAGGAGTTCTTTCTTAATTTTTTTTTTTTTTTTGCTAATACTTTCTTAATCTTAAAGTAAAAATGCAAGTGATAAATTAAACGGTGCAACGGCACAAATATATAAATTTTGTTTGTATGTATGATAAAGTCTTAACCTATTTGTATACATGGAAGATGCATGTTACTTGATATGATTACGGCCCTTGTAGAGATCCAGAGAAAATAAAGAATATATTTTTCACACTAATTGATTTTAGATTATTTCTATAATACACAGTTGTTTATTTTTCCCCCTTTAATTTTGTGATAAAAATTAAATGTCTTCTCCAAATCTACATACTAATAGATAATCCATGACTCTTATCTTAAAATCATGTATGTTACTGTATACGATCGAAATCGGGCATACCCGATTTATTTGGCGGGGAGTTACCTCGAGGGTAACCTCATAATAGATCGGGCTCGAGCTCGAAGATGGAACATCAAGCCTGGAGATCGAAGTGTTCATTGAGATCGAGGCCAACAACAATCGAGATCAAGCATGACTAACTTCGAGTAAGGCGTAATAACGGAATGGTGAGATATCAGTAACCGATCGAAGATCACGGCGGAAATTCCGGAACAGATAAAATCAAAGCGGTTATTTGTGCCAATCATGGGATCTAATTCCGTTATTAGAGTTGTACCTTATTTAGGATTCCTCTGTTATATAAAGAGGGATCATATTCACTCGTAAGGGGGGGAATATTTTTTTTTCATTAATAAGAATATACACACACGCTGCCTTCTTTGTTTTACTTACGGTTCATCGTTGTTTGTTCCATCCTCTACTGTTTTTATTAACTAACCTCGAGACTATCTCGAATCGAGGTCGAGCCGTTGTTTGCAGTCCGGTTCGATTTATTTTATTGTCCAATTTATCTATTTAATTCGTTGTTTATCAATTGGTACTAGTTTAAATCACATATCCTTAAAACCATAATATAAGCTTAATTGTTACTCAATTTTTAGGGTAAAAAGTTTGGCGCCCACCGTGGGGCTAAGGATAATAGTGATTGTTCGGTACTGATTCTGGTAAAATACATTATCTTACGCTTGTTCTTGTCAAGTATCTTTGCTTTCAGGTTAAAACATGTCGAACTCACAAAATGCATCCACACACGGTGATAATGGCCTCGGATTCCACGATGAAAACGAAAATATGATTGCTCCAGGAATCGAGGTGCCACAGGCTAATCTCGGGGGAGCACCGGTTGCCAACCCAGTCGATGTCAGTTCGCACGCTGCTCTAAACACGGACCTAGGCGTAAAACTCGATGGGAGTGTACGCAGAGAAGGTCGATCTAGTGGCCAAGGAACACATAGCAGAGGAGAGGAACACATGGCAAAGGAGACGAATGAGTCAGTCTCCAAGTGATATTCGATATACTCCAGGCTCATCAAGCCATTATTGCTCAGTTACAAAATCATCATAGAGCTCCGAATAAGGTCGAGCCAAAAATTACTCGTTGTCCCGAGCCAGTACCGGAAAGGTCGAATGGTAACGAATCGGGGACTGATCATACGGTAATGAAAATGCTCGAGGAGATCACCAAAAGAATTGAATCACGAGAGAAGAAAATCGAAGCCAACGATAAAAACGTGGAGACATACAACTCTTGAGTTGATCAGATATCGGGGGCACCGCCAATATTGAAAGGGATGGATTCGAAGAAGTTTGTACAAAAGCCGTTTCCTTCAAGTACGGCTTTGAAGCCTATTCCAAAGAAGTTTCGTATGCCAGACATACCCCGATATAATGGGACTACCGATCCCAACGAGCATGTTACTTCATATACATGCGCCATCAAGGGTAACGGTTTAGAAGATGATGATATCGAATCTATGCTGTTGAAAAAAATTGGAGAGACCCTTTTGAAGGGAGTAATGATTTGGTATCACAACCTGCCATCAAATTTTATCGACTCATTTGCCATGTTAGCAGATTATTTCGTAAAGGCACATGTCGGGGCCATAAAGGTCGCAACGAGGAAATCGGACCTTTTCAAGGTAAAACAAAGGGATAATGAAATGTTGATGGAGTTCGAGTCCCGATTTCAAATGGAACGCATGGAGTTGCCACCGGTTACAGATGATTGGGCCGTTCAAGCTTTCACCCAAGGGTTGAACGAGCAGAGTTCGATAGCATCACGTCAGTTGAAATAAAATTTGATCGAGTATCCAGTTGTAACTTGGGCAGATGTGCATGATCGATATCAATCGAAGATCAGGGTTGAGGACGACCAATTAGGAGCCCCTTCCGGTTCAGTACATCCAAGCATGTCAGCACTTAAAAACCAGAGGGACATCGATATGGAGCCAAGGTCGAATAGAGACCGATATCAACCATATACCGCAGATCGAAGGAACAATGGTTCAGGACGCAATTCCGCCCGAAACGATCGAAGAAGTGATCGAGGATAGAATTCTCGGGGACTTATGAGCAAAAGTGGTTTTGAGAAGTATGTTGATCCCACATAGGTACCTCAGTTATCGGAATATAACTTTAGCATCGATGCATTGTATCGGCAATCGAAAAGATCAGAGATACTAGGTGGCCCAGATCCATACAAACTGATCCTTCCCAAAGAAACCCAAATTTGATATGCCAGTATCATGGCATGCATGGTCACAAGACCGAGGATTGCAAGCAATTAAGGGAGGAGGTAGCCCGTCTATTCAATGAGGGCCAACTTCGAGAGTTCCTTAGCGATCGAGCCAAGAATCATTTCAGAGAAAGGGACGCCAACAGGAAAAATGAACAGGAGGAACCCCAACATGTCATTCATATGATCGTCGGTGGGGTCGACATTCCACAAGGACCCATAATCAAACGCATTAAGGTATTAATCACTAGGGAAAAACGAACCCGAGATTATGTGCCCGAAGGCACTTTACCATTTAACAACGAAAAAGCAAAAGGCATTTCTCAACCCCACAACGACGATCTTGTAATTTCTATCTTATTAAATAAAGTTCAAGTTAAGCATATTTTAGTGGATCCAGGTAGCTCGGCGAATATCATCCAATCGAGGGTCGTGGAGCAGCTCGGCCTACAAAATCAAATCATGCCCGCAACTCGGGTCTTAAACGGCTTCAATATGGCCAGTGAAACAACTAAAGGGGAGATTATTCTACCGGTGAACATGGCTGGAACCATTCAAGATACCAAGTTCCACGTAATCGAGGGCGACATGAGGTACAATGCCCTGCTCGGAAGGCCTTGGATCCACAATATGAGGGCCGTCTCTTCGACTCTCCACTAAATGATGAAATTCCTGACGTCGGACAGTGTAAAAATAGTATACGGGGAGCGGCATGCTGCAAAGGAAATATTTGCGGTCGATGAGGTAACATCGATATCGACACTATCAACCTCAAAAAGGTCGAGCATCAAAGGTAAATATGAAGTCAAATAGCAATCACAGCCACCAGCCTAGGCCGAATCGGGGAAGCAGGAGATAGAAGAAGAAGAGGAGGATTTTCTGACCCCTCGAACTTTTATTGTTCCCGAAGATTCTGACGCCACCAAATCAACGGTCGAAGATCTGGATCAGGTTATATT